TGTGGGTCGCCCTGACATACCAAAACAGAGGCTCCGTGACTCCCCAAGTCAGGGAATGGGCGCCCTTCGCCTGCACCAGCAGCAACAGTGCAATCTGGCATGAGGCTGATGGAGATCGCAGCATGTGGCTGTGCCTCGAGGGTTGCAGGTCCTAGCAGCCTCATCTGCAGCATCATTGCCAGGGATACCCACATGGCTCGGGATCCAGTTGATGGTAGCCCTGCGACCCTGGGACTTGAGAGTCTGCAGGTCACCCCGGTTGGCTGTGATTAAGTGTATGTTGTCCTTGGCTCTCTGTGCATAAGCGCAATTGGATTGCTGCTTGGAATCAACGTGGATGATGGGGGGATGCTGATGGTCTGCAAGAGAATGCGCAGGCTTGTTGGATGGCAAAGAGTTCGCCTGGAGGATGTTTTGTGCAATGGTCTGGGAGGCGCCAAACCAGCTGTCAGATTTGCTGTGGAACATCCCAGTGCTGTTGCGGCCCTGCCACTTAGGGTCTCTGGAGCCTCAGTGTAATATGGCACACACCTGGGCCTTCCACTCCCACAATGCTAGCCGAGGCAAGGTGGTTGCAGAATGTCCGGGTGCAATGCCTCTTGCAGTCTGGTTGGGTTGTCCAGCTCACCGCAAAAACAGCTCTGGTGCCCAACGGGGGTTGGCACCGCATAGTTCGCTGCAATCTGCGCAGCCTTCCCGCCTGGAAAGCAATGTCATGGGCAAGAGCTTCTGTGTGGCATCTGCTACCGAACAACATCCATCGGCGGCCGGGATGCAGTGGAAATGACCTGTCCCTGGCGGTCCCGTAATTCTTCATCAGTTTGTCAGCCCCTGGGAGAAAAAAAAAACAAAAGAAAAAATCAGGGAGATACTTTGCAATCCCCCTGGCGCTACAAGTTGGATCTGTTACAAGAGGCGGTAGCTGCACTCAAGGTTCAGAGCCACTGTCATTTCCCCACCTAGGAGCCCACAGCATGGCCCGTATTCAGCTGTGTTCTGGATGACACCAGAGGGATTTGATGTTTGTGGGTCTGGCGTGATCCAGAAGCAAGTGGCCCCATAGTCAACGAGGAACGTATTGCCTGGATGTAGAAACAAACCTCATGACTAGAGGCTTGACCCAACCCTAGGGTTGGCCCCATGGCACTCAATGCCCTGATCCCTTGCAGAGACCCTCTTCTTTAATGTGGCGCACATGTTTCTGGAAGGTGAGGTGCCTGTCAATGTAGATGCCAAGGTACCTATAACTGTGAACCACTCCAGGTCGATGCCCAGGACCCGCAGCCTCTGACTGGGCACCTTGGTGCGAAGGATCATGGCTTTGGATTTTGCTGCAGATATCTTGAGTCCCAAGTGACGGCAGGTGGAAGCCAGCAGATCGAGGTCCTCCTGGGCACGCTGCAAAAGCCGGCGCTTCCTAGGTACGACAAGTGCCAGGTCATCGGCATAGCTGAGGAGGATGGTCCCTCTGGAGAAAGGCAGGCACACCAGCTGATGCATCAGTACATTGAACAGGGTGGGACTAAGCACCCCCCCTGTGGAGTGCCGTTGTCCAGGGTCTTGAGAGAAGAGGCATGCCCCTGGAAGCGTACCCGGGCCCGCCTGTCCTGGAGATAGGAACGAAGCCATGAAAGCAGCCTGCCTTTAATCCCCCTGCGGGCCAAGAGTGAGAGGATGGCAGGTGCACTGGCTAGCTCAAAAGCTTTCTCGAGGTCAAGAAAGACAACAATGTGGGCTTGGGCGTCCGACCCAATGCCGGTCAGTAGAGTGGTAAGGCTTTCGAAAGTGCCCACTCCTCTGGTGAAGCCATAGAGGTGTTTATGAGGGGGCCAAGCTTCCACCTCAGGCGCTCCAACACCATCCTTTCAGACACCTTCGAGATGCAACTGGTGAGGGAGATGGGTCTCACACTGCCAGGATCCCCAGGCTTAGGAATCGGTATGATGTCAGCCTCCTTCCATACGACAGGGAGTTTGCCAGCTCGCCAAGTCTGGTGATGACTCCCAGGACAGCTGAATGTCCAGAATGGCCAGACGAGTGATCATGCCATAGGTGATACCATCATGCCCGGAGCAGTGTCTCGATGAGGTGTGAAGGCTGCCTGGAGCTCCTGGTCGGTGAAGTCTTCATCTGTGACATCCCCAGCCTGGCATGCTGCTTGGATCACCATCACCCTTCTAGGAAGGAGGGTGGCTTGGAGGTCCTGGAGATCCTGAGGCAGTTGAGCCATGGCCGATCTGGGAGGTGAATAGGTCCACAAGACGCTCTGACCTCCGTTGCGGGTCTGGGTGCAACCGAGCAACACTTGTCGCTGCACAGTGGCCCATCGTAACTTGGTGCAATTATCTCACGACAATAACTGGCTTGGAAGGAGTAGAGCCTCACTCTGAAAAAGTGACCGAAGGATCACCACTCGAAACCATTTAGCCTGCCGGTCCCTGTGTCGAGACATCTTATCTCTACACTTTCCTCCCACGTGTTTGCGCTGGGTGCATGCCGCACCACCTTCACCTGAGCGACGTATGGACTTCATCATGGGATTATGCCTGTGCATCTTGCGTTACAACATTGATGACCGGTGTTCTGTTACCTGATGTCCTACATTGTAAAAACACCAGTCACGTTTATTTGACACTCTGCATGTCAATCCTTTAGGTATGCTGCCTCATAGCTTGCACTGTGAGGCCACCTGCAGCTTTGAGCTGCCTCATCCTGGGTTCTTCTGGAAGGGGAGACTCCGCCACCAACGCTCAAAGGTCACTACTCGGAAGGCACTGACCAGTCGGACTTTTTTGTTAGATTACCTTCTGGGGGGGTGTGGGGACGCGGGCAACGCTGGACCATCAGCGTAGTAGACACTGCAAAGGATCATTGGTGTGACGGGGGTGGACCTCCCTTTCGCGCTTTACTGAGAGCAACCGCTCATTGAGATGTGTGTGACATCCAAGCGGCAACCATAGTGATGGGTTGGCTCACCATATTGAGGGGGAAAGGTGGGGCACGATTCGCGGACCCCCCTACACTCCAAAGCACAGCCGCATAGGTGGCCTCCCAGCTGCGTTCTTCGGGGGTAGGAGAGACAAAAGAAAGTATTGGGTGGTGGGCTATTTTGACATCCCTGGCCACAACAAGACCTCCCATGGGGCGAGTGCTGCCACCTATGAGATTGTCAAGGGTTGTACCGTGAGCTTCTGTAAAATATTGTAAACCACGGGAGGTTCCATCCGCCAGGCTGTAGGGTGACTGCCTGAAACCTTATTACGCCACTCCCCAACAGGTACCGATCTGGGGTCAGGGGAGGTCATATCATAAGATGCGGGAATGAGGAATTAGTGGTACTGAAGTAGATCTGCCGTGCCCCTGGCCCAGTCCTTCCAGGAGCTGTAGGCGTATGAGCCCTACTGAGTTTTCCGGGAAATACGTAGGCCTGCATTTGAAGTTTGTGACCAAAATCGTGCTGCAGGTTGTCTCCTGTAACTGGAAAGAACATACAACATCATCCTGAACTGCAGCCTTACAACTCAACTAAGTGAAATTTTCCACTGCAGCCCACATAATGTTCACACTGGTGGTTCTTCAAGGGCCGCAGAGGTGGCTCACTGATTCCATCTCTGCCTGGGGATCTCGTCCGTTGTTGGCGACTCGGGGGAACTCATCCATAACTGACTAGGAAGGACTCCTGGAATGATGGCTTGATGTTCCTATGAGTCTTTCCTGTCCAGTAGGACCACGCCCAGAATCCATGCAGGTGCTGCCTGCAGGCGCCATGTCATCTGCCGAAGGACAGCAGGCGACAGCAGGAGCGATTGAGATGACCCCATGGTTTTCATCAGTCGATACGGAAAAGGAGTCGACTCTTTACCTCTGCAGGCTTGAGCTGGAACGTCCCGTCGGGAGGCGGGGCTGGGTAACTGGGTACTGTCTGGGTGGCTGTCGACACATCAGCAGCATGAACTGGGTGCACCCTGGGCCCGGCATGAGTGGCCTTGGGCTTCAGTCCACCCTGGCGGGGAACCTCTGCCTGACGCTGGTCGATCACAGTAGGGGCCTGTCCTTGGGAAGAGGCCTGCTGGCCGTATGCAGGAAGGTTGGTGCCCAGCTGGGACCTGCTGGGCTGATAAGTGCCGGGGCCTGTGGCTGTTTTTTCCCAATGATCTGCCTTCCGTGGCCACCTTCAATCTGACGCCGCAGGAATTGAACGCGCTGCCTGCAACCAGTGTCTTGCCCTCTGATGCCAACGCTGGGAGCCCCCGGCCCAGGGCAAGGGATACTCGTGGTATTACCCTCATGCGGTATCCGGGGAACCGTGATTGAGCCCATGCTGAATGTTGCTGGGAAGTTACATCGGGTCTGGGTGGCGTCGGGGCTGTCGCGGGTCGTTCCGATGAATTACGAACCTGCTGCCAGTGCTGCACCCATCACAGGACAGCTCCGGTCACAGGCATGGTGCCTCTCTTGGCAGTTGGCACTCTTGGGCTCTTAGGAACGGAGCAGGTGGCTTCTTCGCCAGAAGTGGCATTACTGATAGGGTTGGTCTGAGGTTTGCCAATGCAGTCCTTCGAGGTCGTGTGCCGTGCTGCACTCACCACACTTCTTCTCTCGCTGAGTCTCGCCGTGGTGGGCCTGCAATATGATTGAACCCCTGGCAGTTGATGCATTGTTCTGGGTGACAGGTATGGTAGGGTCTTGAAATACTTCCCCAGCCCCCAAGGTCCAGAACCGATGCGTGGGAAGTGCGACCTTTGTGGTGTGTCGCACCCTGGCGGGTGGGCACCTTGTTCACCGTTTTTTTGGGCCAAGTGAGTTGCTCCGCCTTGACAATTCTTGGGCACTTCCAATATGGGGTTCCAGTGGGAGGGGAACAGGGACGTGTAAATGCACCCCCTCTGTACACCTTCTCCGAAGCAAGCAGTTCCCAATGTGGGATGGGTCACAACCAGCCCCTTCAATCCTCGTAGAGTCTTTCGTCTCCCGAGGGGGAATGACCAGAACCTCGTTAAATGAGAGTGAACATCGCAGCGGAACTTGAGGTGGGGGAGCGCCAGGACCTTCCAGAGACCTTACCCAAACCCGTAGTTGGGAACTTGATTTTGTTGAAGGCCCATCGTTGCTTGTGCCCGAGTGAGCAGGAGAACTCTTCCTCTCCCACGTGGAGTCAACCAGATCCCCCGTCCACTGTGGAGGCCAACGCAATGGTGTAGGGACATGGGATGCTTATCCTTGCCACTGAGGAGCTACATCCACCTGGCTTCCTTCCACGAACCCCTATGGGCCAATCTGGGGGGTGCAAGTATTATTTGGGGTAGGGGCTGACGAGGACCTAGTGGAAGATTGGTAGGTACAGTAGTCTCCACTGCATCCTTGGCCTTCTTGGTTGGGGGCTCCACCTGCCTCACGTCGTCCTCCAAATCGTCCCAGAATTCAAGGAAACGTTTAGGCCGCTCTCCTGGATCTGTCATGGTACTGTATGTGTGGGGACAGAGCCAGCAGCAGAGCTGCTGCCTGTAACTCACTGCGCACACTGCGAGTGCAGAAGCTTCCTTAGTTTTTGAGGATCTGGCCACCAGTCGGGGACAACGTGCCACACCTCTCGTGGCTCAATGCCTTTGAAACGCCACAGCAAATGATACAAATGTCCAAGGATCTACCAGGAATGGTTTTTTGTCGCTATTTGTGCCAATTTTCTAACACTGATTTCCATCCGCGAAACCACACACTACTGTTTCCCATTCTTCGTCCCAAAACCTGTCAGATTACTCAAACTTATGAATTTGGAAAATTTTTACTTGTCTCGTCCAACTCTTTACCAACTATCTTGTAAACCTGCTCAAATGTCTCTAGAGTTTATAGTGAATTTTGGCTATTGAACTTTGTATTGAGCTAGTCGAATTGACCTTGAGTTTATCTTTAGTGATTAATCTTATTTAATATAATTTTAAGGCACTAGAATCTCTTTTGTTTTTGTAATTGCACTAAGTTTAGATTTAATTTTTTTGGTTGTTTTTAGAGAATTAGTGTTTATAATTAGATTATTTTTTAATTTGACAGGATTAAAAAAAAATATTACAAAAAATATGTTATGGTAGACAATATGAATAATTAATAAAAAAAAAAAAAAATAATTTTACATAAATAATTAATTATGGCAAATGAATTGGTATTATATTGCTAGTAAGATTGGTTAGACAGGTAAAATAATTGTTTTTAAAAGTTGTGTAGTTTTTTGAAAATACTACTGTTTTTTAATAAAGTATGGAATTATAAAAACAAAAATAAAAAAAATAAATAAATAAGAAAAAAAAAAAAACAACATAGTCAATAAATGTTGTTTTTAAATAAGTAATTGATCAAAATCTATAGTTTATAATTAAATTTTGTTTTTTTTTTATAATTGGGCCAAAAACTAATACGGGAATTTTGAAAAATTAAAAAATTGGGCAACATTGAGAGTCTTATTTTTTTTTTTTTTCTTCTTTTAAAAGTGAGGTGAAATCCTATTGTAAATAGACAAAGTTTTGTGTCTTTAGGTATTTTTATAATTTTTTTTGTTAAAACTTTATAAGTGTGGTACCTCGTGATGTACTTGTTGGTAAGTTTGTATAATTAAAATGCGGCATAATATATAGATTCTGTTAAAGTTGATATTAATCTCAATTATTAAGACCACTATGAGGTTAGACTCCCCCCATGGGTCGTTGATTAAAATACAAACTTTGACAATCCTAATAGGTAGTTTTGGGTTTTATTTTTTAGAATTTGTAGGGGGCGCAACAATTTTGATGTACTATTATAACACTAACGGTGGGACTATCGGGTCTTATCTGCTACCTCTTTCTACTATGATTTTATCCTTTTGTTCTGTCCAGCCTCACTCCCCCCCCCAACCCCCCAACACCACCCCCCCCCCCTGGGAATTATTTTTTGTTTTTTTAAGGAGGTCATGTTAACTGTATATTATTCATTGAAGCTTGTGCTGTTATTCTATTCCATGTGGGCTGTTTCATAACTTTCGATTTTTCAAATCCCTCACATAAGCACTGGTGGATGATTTTTCTATTTGGGCTTTACGCGTAATTTATCATTAGCCGTTAAAAAGATGGTTTTGTTATTATCTGTTTTTGGGCTTTTTTTAATAGGCAAATCATTTGACGTAAAAACAATCAGTTTTCATTAGAATTTAGTTTTGTTTTTCAGGCTAGCGTTTGTTTTATCCTTGTAGGCTTACGTTTGGCTAATTTTTTTAACAGCACATGTTTTTTTTACTGATTTGGTTAAGACCATACAGTTTGCAATCCTCTTTGTGTTTCGTCACTACGTATGTGTTTTTTTTATTTGTTAGGCCCCAGAATGTGGTCATTGAGATGCAGTACTTCCACTTTTGTTAGGGTCGGTCTCCATGCTGGTCTCTTTTGGGTGGAGACTGTGGGTTGGGATAGATGCTTTGCTTGTTAACTCACAAACTGCGTCAGATAGCCTGCTGTTGGTCATTATGGTTCTTGGAAGATTTTGGTTATTTTTTGACTTGTGGCCCAAAGTTTGTTGGTCCACTCTTGAATTCTCTTCCTCTGTTTTGTTGGTTGTAAGTGGGTGAGAATCACTTGGTTTTTTGTGTGTTTGATGGTGTCTAGCGCGACTGGGTTATAGTCGGGTGTTTGCTTTGTTGTTATAGAGTGTATAGTTTATGTTTCTCTAGAGCAAGTTGATCTTTGTTAGAGTGGTTTAATCGTGCTGTTTGCCTTGCAATTTAGTTCCCTGCCTATTTCTTTAGTTAGTTTGCTGTAGATCGTTTGGGTTCTGATTCATTAAGGGCAGTTTTTTTAGTCCTATTTATGGGTCGTCCGGTGCAGATTCTTCATTGACCCCCCCCATAAATATTACTGGGGAAGTGAGGTGTTTATAGGTGACTGTAAGCGAGCGTCATGTTTGTTTGTTGGTCTGTCGTTGTGTTTGTGTGGTGTTTTTGCTGGCTCGGGGTGATTGCATGATTTGAGGGGTTCGTGTCCTGGATGGCAAGTAACCTAAAGTTTTTATCTAGTGTTCTTATTGCCCACCTGCTACTAACACTTTGTTGTTTAGTCGACGGGTCATTAGATGGGTTATGGATCTTTTATGTTATTGTTTCATCCCTTGTCCATTGAGGTTGGGCTTAGGGTCGAATTGTAGGCGAATTGGACCAAGTGCGCAATGGCACGCCTTAACTCCTGCTGAATGTAGTGGAGTATATCTTCAGTGGCCTGCGGGGTTAGCGAGGTATGGGTATTTTTTATGAGTCCTATTTGTTGTGTAATTTGTGAAATTTTGGAGTGATTTCTGCAGTTGCTTTATATCATTTGGGTATCCAACAATAGTTAGTGTTTATGCGGGTCTTGATTAGGATCATCAATCCGGCATGCTCGGGAACCTCAGGTAGAAGTAAAAATTAGAGGACAAGGTTACTGTTTGCACGCTGCCGCTGCCCGCTTGAAGCTCTGTTGTTAGACACCACAGATAGGAAGAATGATTGCTGTTACATAGTTTCTGTGTACCTTTCTGAAGTGTTAATCCCACATAGAAGGGAATGATTGCTGTACTAGTTTCCTGTGTTCCTTTTGAAGTTATCCACAAAATTATTTTTTTAGAATTAGTGTGGGATAAATGAATGGACATCTTCCAAAATGTCAATAGTTATGAAACTTTAGTTTTTTTTTTTAGCTGAAGAATTACGGGATATTTTAGAAAAAGTACACAGCAGTAATGATTAGGAATGTGTTCTATCAGCAGAAAGTGTCAAAACCACTTTTCCAAGTACCACTGAGGTCAAAGCCAAACTTCCAATTGTGAATTTTTCGTTAAATTTTGCATTTTTCATTTCCCTTTTTGCCGATATGTTTGAAACTACAGCACCAGCACATACTCGAATTAAGCTTCTATTAGTACACCAAAGAGAAATGGGTTAGAATGGATTCTGATTAAATTATAGGAGTGGATGTTTTGTTCCTTCAGTAACATTAATTTTAAGGAGGGTAGGGTTTTGCAAGAGGGTGGCAGGGGTTTAAGGTGGTAACACTGCACATTCTTGCCCGTTTGAAAGGAGGGGTGGATACATTTTAAATTTTTTTTTATTTTATATTTTATACAAATAATTTTAAAACAAACTTTACAGATTATTTTATTAAAAAATTATTAAAAAGATATAAAATGGGTACAGTAGGGATCATCTCTCAATCCTACAGAACACTTCATAAACCCGTTTTATTCAACACATTGTACATTGACATTAATTATAAAAAGCAGAGGATTTACCCCACCCCCCCATATAAACTCACAAAATTTCCCCTATAACCATACTTACTTTAATTATAAACAATCATAAACTATTATAACTATATAAACTATATTAAATATAATAAACTATGTAAACCTTTCATATTTTATGTATAGTTAACATACTCATGACTGACACATTACAAAGGTTCCACACAAATTCACAGTTGATAGAAACAGAGGACTAAATAATGTCCTACATCATATCTCAGTTAAAAAAAAAAAAAAAAAAAAAAAAAAAGTAATGCTCTTCCAAATTAACCCACTATACAATCCGAATTACCTAAAAAACATACATACGTGCCCTCACTACAATCCTCTTTAAGCATTGATAAAAAAAGTTGAAATCCTAATCCTAACACTTATACTACAAACGGAAGACCATAAGGACAAGATTTCATTAATAAGGATTATCGGACTGGACGAGGATTGGAAAACAGTTGTGTTGTGTTCGAAAAATCTGTAGGTTAGTTTACGCACAGATTAGCGTCGTTTCTGGTGATCCTTGGACTGTGTTTTAGTGCTTCAGAGCAGTGAGCCACGAGAGGGTGGCTACGGGCCCCGACTGGGGCTCTGTGCCTCACAGCTCTGCACCCATGTGGGCAGCTGTGAGGTCACAGGCAGCAGCTCTGCTGCTGGCTCTGTCCCCACACCTACAGTCAAACCCTGACAGATCCAGGAGAGCGGCCTAAAACGTCATTGGAATGTGGGGACGAGTTGGAGGACGACGTGGGGCAGGTGAGAGCCCCCAAGAAGGCCAAGGATGCAGTGGAGACTACTGTACCTACCAATCTGCCACTAGGTCCGTCGGCAGCCCCTACCCAAGAAGACTTGCACCCCCAGATGGCCATAGGGGTCGTGGAAGGAAGCCAGGAGGATGTTAGCTCCTCAA